ACAAAATAATAATAATTTATAAATTATCAAGGGTTTGTGAGGGAGGGGGGAAAATAGGAGCTGATACCAAGGGCTCAAGTAGAAAGCAATGTTTTGAGAATGATGAGGGTAACAAATGTATGAATGTGCTTTTCACAATGGATGGATGTATGGATTGTGGTAAGAGTTGTGTGAGCCTCCATTAAGATGATTTTTAAAAAAAAAACAAAAAAAGGAATGGCTTGCCAATTACCAAGTTTATTTCCATCTCTATGACTCCATCTAAAGACCAGCAGGATCTGTGATATGAGAATTAACAGTGAGCAGTAGAAAGAACTCAATCCTGGGAGCAAGGGTCTAAGAAACAAAAGACTGCTTACACAATTATTGAACTATGCATTTAGTGCCTTAGTATCCAGACCTGGAAAGAGTGGACAAAGGGAGAACTGGCTCAGATAATCTCTCTCCACCTCCGAAAATCATCCAGTTTCAATCAGGAAACTTTGGCAAGACTACCTGGTTTTATAAATAAAGTTTTATTGGAATACAGCCACAGCCACCTGTTTGAAGTGTCTCGGGCTGCTTCTGCACTTTGAACACAGAGATGAACAGGAGCAAAAGAGCCGAGATGGCCACCAAGCCTCAAATACTTACTGTCTGGCTCGGTAAGAAAAATCTGCTCACGCTGTTCTAAATAAAATGTAAAAAGGCAAGCGAAACAGAACCCCAAACCCACGATTTTAGCAAAGCCTGTTGCCCTTACTTCCAAGCTGGAGGCCTGGGGGTGATTCCCAGCCAGTGTACCTCATCCACAGTCACCCCCACCCATCAGCGATGGAGCTTATCAGTGATGTGCTGAATAGGTTTCAGTAGAGCTTTAAGACTGAGCTAGGCCTGGCGATCTACTTCTGAAAACTGGCCATCAAAACGGTTTGATCTATAACTGGTTCTGGAAATGGGACAGGATCAAGCAGCAGCTTGTGCTGCGGTACACAGGTTCCCGGAGTCAGACAGAGCCGTCTCCAAGACAGCTAAGCATACCACTTATCAGGTCAATTGTCTTTCCAATGCACAGAAGGCCATTAAGAAACATGTCAGAGTACCCGAAGAGCGTTTCCTTGTCAAACACAGTGTCGGCTGGCATGTTCACAGGGATCAGGAGGTCCGGATGTGAATCAAAATGCACCAACTGTATGTTACAGGCAGGAAGATGCTTTGAGCCAATGGCTCGGTATATAAAAGGAAGAACCTGCAAAGATACAACCACATGTTCAGAATTGGCCCTAAAATCATGGGTACACACTCAACTGCAGATGGAAACACAGTTAAACACAGGCACTTTAAAAACAGGGGAAATATACAGCGAGCTTACTGCAGATGATCCAGGTAACTATCTCAAGCCAACCGTTAATGATTCCTGAGAACTCCCAATTGACTCTTCGGAGGACTTAATTAACACAGCTCCACCTGCCCTCCAGCCAAACCCATCAAGTTCAACAGGTGTTGCAGAGGGCAGCCCAGGGCTGGGGCTCCTTAACTAATCAACGGCTCCTTAAAGTATCGGTTGTGACAGTAATTGTGAGCAGAGCTACTCTAGGCGGCTAAGGGGTCTGTAAGGCTTTCTCCTTCCACACTGTCGGTAGCTGGCAGTCCCAGTTTTAAAGTGCCACCCATCCAGACACTCAGTCTCTAAGTCCTGAGAAATCCAACTTCTTTCTCCTCCTCTCGCGTCTGATGCGCGCAGGAGCCCCGATCGATCACACTCTCCCTCGTCACATCCAGGGAAGCCCAACGTCTATTGATGCTGCTTCTGGAAGCATTTCTCAGCACCACTGCCACCCACTACCGGGCTTCCAGGAGTCCGGGGTAAGGGCCTGCTGAGGCTCAAGTAGCAGAGCAAAACAGTTAACATCTCTATCGTTATTTCCCTGTGCCGAGCACCGTGTTCTGAGGCGCACGTACACAGTGTGCACCCCGTGACTCATGGATCTGTGAACACCACGTACACAGTGTGCACCCCGTGAACGCCAAGCAATGGGGCAACGACTCTTTCGAATTTACAGGTGTCAGCCGAAGACTCCCGCCGCTAGCCCGGCGCCTCCCGCTTGACAACAGGACTGGCGTCCCCAGAAGCCAGCGTTTAAGTAGAGACGGAGAACGCTCGGATCTGCGCTCAGACCGTCCCAGTTCGAATCCCAGCCACACCAGTGGACACAGTGTGGGAGAACCGCCGCGGCCGCGGCACCCGGCAGACCATTTCTGCGCCTGCAGAACTCCTGTCCCGGAGCGCCGGTGCTCCGGCCGGCCCCTCACCTCCTGGTGGTCCTCCACCACCCAGACCGGGAGCTCGGAGTAACTCCGCAGGCGGGAGAGCGCTCCCGCGGAGTCGCTCATGGCCCCGCGTCCGCAGGCTGCACGGGAGCCGAGCGTGCAGGACCAGACAGCTGGAAAACCTGAGCCGCCGCCGCCGCCAGTGACGGAAGCGCGTACTCACCCGGTTGCGGTTTCGGATTGGAGGACCGAGAGGGTTGAGGCCGGTCGCCGTAGCATTGAACGATCCTGATTGGTCGACAACCCCGTCGCTCTTACTGAAGCGCCAATCACTGCTCCCGCGAGCCGCGGAGGTTCCCTCTGGTTTGCTATTTAATTCCCTAGGCTTCCTGTTCCGGAGGCGTCGCTGCTTCCCTCTCGTGGCTCCTGCAGTCTTACAGTGTCTTTGCTCTGACGGCGACCGCGCGCCTCGGGAACCTTTTGTAGGTAAAAGGGGCGCCTTGTGGGTATTGGAAGAGGGAGCGTTGCCGAGTGTCCGGATTGAAAAGGGGCCAAAGTCCCGGGCTGGGGACGAAAGGCACCTGGGAGTTGGGGTCGGGCAGCCCCTCTTAGGATCTGTAAGTGAGGGCGCGAAAGCAAGCGGAGGCTCGGTTCCCACAAATAAACAGAAGTGGAATATGAGATCTTTCATTCATTATGGTGCGCAGGCTGCTGGCCAGGCCGGGGCTCCATCATGTGGCGCCCAGTCTGGCGGGAGAAGGCCAACGGGGAAGCGCGTAATTACGGAGCAGTAGGTAGAAGAGCATCAGCCTGCGACGTAACTGGGAAAGGGAGAGTTCTTAATTAAAACAGAGCCAAACTTTGCACTTTGCAAAAAACGATTTTTTTTTTAACCTGCAGTGAAGTGAACTATTCAGCAGACTTCCCTCAGTTTCCCTGCGTGCAAACAGCAACCCAAGAACGGGCAGGCGCAGAAAAGTGACGTTCCCACCTGCAGTTCTTTCCTTTGGAGTCTCTTTAATCGGTCCACAGTTTCTGACAACACCCTTGTACAAGCCCCTTGCCCACCTCTACTTTGACACACATCTGGTCCCTTTTTGTCCTCTGCATCCCTGCTTTCTTGAGTTTGTAATTTTCTTAAGACCTATTTGTGTAGGGAAAAAGACTTGGTGGCGGCGTGGGTTAAATGCCGGACTGCTAACCGCAAGGTCGGCACTTGGACTCTGTGGTGGAATGTGTTCGGTGCTCCAGCAGAGTTACAGCCTTGGGAACCCGCAGGGGCAGCTCTGCTCTATCCTAGAGGGCCACTGTGGGTTGGAATCGACTGGATGCCAGTGACCTTCATTAGTATAAGGATTCTGCGCTGTCCAGTGCTGCAGGGTGTGCGCCTTTGTCATTTTTGTAAGCCCCGAGACGGCTCACTGTGGCACGAGCCCACGGAAAGGCCTGCTTTCTGCCTGCTTCTGCTAATTTGGTGTGGATGTGTGTGTAAGGAAAATATACGGCAATACCACGGAGACATATACTATGGATGAGAGAACAGTTAACACTGCCTATTGTCTGCACGGAGCTGTGCAAGACAGAAGTGACGACACCAACAACCCACATCCTGACGGAGCTCACACAGACTAGTTGTCTGTAGCTCTTCTAGAAGAAGGATTACCCTAAGAGCAGCGGGACTCCAGAGGAACAGCCTTGGAGGGCTTCACAGTGGAGGCAGTGTTGGCGTTAGGTAGATGAGAAGGACTTCACTGGGCAAAGAGGGGAGGTAGGGGACTTTAGAAAGAAGAGCAGGAGCTGACTGGTGGAACGAGGGGGCTTCGACACATGGAGCAGTTTTGTTATCTTTTCATTCCATTTTCCCACCAACTTTTTGAAGCCCCTTTGTTAGGCAGGTGGGAAAACCTGGGGTGATCAGGACTTTGTGGGAAGGTAAATGGAGGGTACGCCTAGAAGGACATGGCTGTGGAGGTTGTTGGCGCCCAGCATGGAGTTTGAATTAGATTTTGTTGTTGGTAAGGAGCCGGTGGTCGTCTGATGAGCTGTCTGTGCCCCAGTTTATCACGAGGGCAATGGAGTGGACTGTAATCATTGATCATATTTGGTGCTCCCCTCGGGTGCCATGTGGTGTAGTGGTTACTCATTGGGCAGCAATATGCAAGGTCGGCAGTTCGAAACCTCCAGTGACTCTGAGGGAGAAAGACTGGGTTACCTAAGCCCGTAAAGAGTTACAGTCTCAGAACCCCACAGGGTGGTTTCTGTGAGTCAGCATTGAGTTTGGTTTTTGGTGCCATGACAGCAGTTCTAATCCCCTAGTTGCTCTGTGGGAGGAAGATCAGGCAGTATGTCTCCATAAAGATTTATAGCCGTGGAAACCCTACGGGGCAGCCCTGCTCTATACTGTGGGGTGGCTGTGCATCCGGGTTTGCTTTGACCTGGGTGAGTAACACTCATGGAGATTCTTCTCTCTTTTGTGTCCTTTAGAATTATATTCTCTGGAAGATGTGAGTGTCCACACAGCACAAGAGGATGCAAGGCAATACATGGTGAGTAATGGCAGCAGCTTGGAAGGGTGCCGTGAGGAGCAAACAACCATGGAGGGGAAGATAAGGGAGGCGTGATGGAAGTGGGTGCATTCTTTCAACAGTGGGTCGTAGATGATGGGGTTTCAAAGCATTTGTGGGCAAATGGAAATAAAAGATAATGGATTATTTCCACAAACTTTTGAAGCCTCCTTGTGTGTGGACTACCCCCAACCCTGAGGTGCAGCTCAACTTTAAAGTCAGAATGACATAATTAGTTGGAAGATTATAGTTATTGTAGGAACTGCCAAGAAAAAGCAGTGTTTTCAGGGCAGGGACCCCAAACGAAGGGATTGGGGTTGATGGTGGTTTGGGAAGGCCAGCAAGGTCATCAGTTGTAGTCATCAGACAAGAGATGATCATGTGAAGTTGATGAATTCTAGAAAGAGCTATGGAGGAACAGGAACAGGACTTTAAAAATACTTCGCTTACGGAAATAAAGAAGGCATGCTCTTCGAGAATGCTCCTTGGAGGTAAGCGTGGCGAGAGTGTGTCTCAGCACTTTGGGCATGTTGTCAGGAGGGACCAGTCCCTGGAGAAGGACGTCATGCTGGGTGAAGGAGAGGGGCAGAGGAAAGGAGGAAGGTCCTGGGCAAGATGAGCTGGCACAGTGGTTGCGTGGATGGCCTCAGATTTAGGGACACTCGTGAGGACATGGAAACGCCAGGGCCATGTTTCCTTCTGTGGGACATGGGGCTGCTGTGAGTCAGCACCAACTCGCTGGCACGTAATAACAACTTGTCAAGTATGTGACACGAGGGCTGAGGGAACGCCGTTTGAGATAAGTCAGCATGAACAGAAACAAGCCTCGTCCTGGAGGAAGAGGCCCTTCGTTCCTCTCAGGATAGGTGGCACTGGATTTGGGCATTGGTGAGACAGGGACGGCGTGGACGGTGTGGTGGCCGTTGGCAGCCTGGGTCTGGAGCTCAAAATCTGAGGGCTGGAGAATGGAGCTTTGGCAGTTGCTGCCAAACGGGTGGTAAGTGAAGCAACACAAGAACATAGGGTCACCTTAGGTAAAAGGGAGCAGAGTGTCCCGGCTGGTCCCCTGAGAATACCAAAGGCTGGGCCATGCACAGTGTAAGGAGGAACCCCCAGAGAGATCGAGAAGAGGGTCAGCTGGGCAGGATGCTGAGTGGCACAGGCGGTGAAGCACTCAACTACCAGCTGTTGTAAGGTTGTCGCTCGCACCCACCCACCCAGCGGGGCCTCAGGAGACAGGCTGGTGACCCGCTTGGGAGAGGCCTCAGCCGTGGCACTCCCGTGGGGCAGTTGTGTTGTGCACCAAGGAGTTGCCGTGAGTCAGCATCTGGTCAACAGCAGCCAGCAACCAGTGTGTGGGCCCGGCCCGTTGACAGGCGCTTCCTTCTCAGGGTGCTTTTGTCCTTGAGCCGGGAGAGGGATCGGGATCTGAGAAGGGAGCTGCAGGTGGGAGGTCGTGGTGGTGCGTAGCTAGCAGGATAGACGGGTTCCGGAAGCATGCAGGGTTGCGGGCCTGGCTGGAGCCCTGGGACCCTGCCGTTACGGGGACACCACTCTGTCCAGGGGGCTGGTTTTCCACTGCCCCACATTCTAGTCAGCCTACCGAAGAGGACTGGGTGGGCGCGTCTAAGGTGGAGGTTGTGCCAGGTTTTTACGATGAAAGAGTGGGGCCAGTAGAGTTGGAGGGAGCTAGAAACAAGTCACTGAGTGACCATGCATCCGGGCCGAGTGGGAGGAAGGTGCTTCCGCCGACTGAGAAGCTGTGGGCTGACTGCCTAGAAGGATGCAGTCAGGTCACACGGGGACCAGGAGCAGGCCGGGCAGGGCGATGCTGAACTCAAGACTTTGGAGGGGAGCAGCACACAGGAACGACAGGGACAGGGGCTGACCACGGCAGAGGAGTGGAGTGTCTTATGTTACTGAGACCCAGGATTAGATGCGTGGAACATTCCAGGGACTTGACTAAGGGGTCTGTCCTTCAGGTGTTAGGATGGTCAGGTATTCCTTTGTTTGCTTGCTTGTTTATAACACCTTTCCCCATTTTCTGCTCTCCAACAAAGCCATAGGATGTCCTTCCACCCAGGAAGAGGATGTCCCCGAGGGCGAGGAGGACATGGAGCCAGACCCTCGGCACCAGCCTTCCGCCCCCAGAATCTGAGGCTGCTCCACCCTCAACAGCCGCCCGCGCAATATCAATATGAACCGCCCAGTGCCCCCTCCACCACCTTCTCAAACTCTGCGGCCCCCAACTTCCTGCCCCCGCGCCCAGACTTCGTACCCTTCCCCCCGCCCATGCCTCCGTCAGCACAGGGCCCTCTGCCCCCCTGCCCAGTCAGGCCCCCCTTCCCAAACCACCAGATGCGGCACCCGTTCCCGGTGCCCCCCTGCTTCCCCCCCATGCCTCCCCCTGTGCCCTGTCCCAACAATCCCCCGGCCCCTGGAGCCCCTCCGGGGCAAAACTCTTACCCCTTTCTGATGCCCCCTCCTTCCATGCCTCACCCACCACCCCCTCCGGTCATGCCCCAGCAGGTCAACTACCAGTACCCCCCAGGATACTCCCACCACAACTTCCCGCCTCCCAGTTTCAGCAGCTTCCAGAACAACACCAGCTCCTTCCCCACCAGCGCCAACAACGGCAGCAGCCCACATTTCAGACACCTCCCTCCGTACCCGCTGGCCAAGGCCCCCAGCGAGAGAAGGTCCCCAGAGCGGCTGAAGCACTATGAGGACCACAGGCACCGCGATCACAGCCACGGGCGAGGCGAGAGGCACCGGTCCCTGGATCGGCGGGAGCGAGGCCGCAGCCCGGATCGGAGGAGGCAGGACAGCCGCTACCGCGCTGACCATGACCGGGGGAGGACGCCCTCTCGCCACCGCAGCTACGAGCGGAGCCGGTAAACAGGCAGAGGCTGCCTCCTCTGGGCAACAGGTGGTCTGTGGCCAGGCGTCGGCCCAGAGACCCTAATGGTCCGACTGGGCCCGCTCTTTGCTAGAAAGGAAACGTTAGGACGCCGTTTGCAAGAGGGTAACAGGCAAAGCCCCTTTTGAAGGGCACTTGACAATGATCGTAGTGTAGAGTTCTCCCCACAAACGCCAATCCGTGACTGGTCTGATACATTGCCACGCGTAACGCTGACCCCGCGTCCTGACGGATTGTGAGCGATCGATTCCGTGCGCCCTTTTCCTCGGGCCAGGCTGCGTGTTAGTCCTCTGGCTACCGCCGAGCTGGCTTTCGGAGCACCGAGGACAGGTGGAAGGTCTTGTACATTGTTGCCTGCCTGCTGTTATCTTTTGAAGTGCAATTAGGCTAGTTACACATTTGATACTTATACTGAAGAACTTTGTGGGGTTTTTTTTAGGACTCTTCCATTCCAGAATTTAACATCACCCCACCCTCCTCTAAAAAAAAAAAAAATTCCCAAACAAACCCAAAAAGACCACACTGCTGAAAAAAATCCCCAAGAGATATGTGGCTTACTGCAGATGTTCTTAAACTAGGATTCTCGAGGTAAATTCTATGAGAAATCGGTGTTGTTTAGAGCAGATTGTTACAGAATAGAATAGACTTTTAGTTTTGCAACTTGAGGCTTGCGTTCCTTCCCTGTGTTCCTTCAGTTTAAGACACAGGGAACATATTCCTTTTGTTTCCTAACCCTGGGTCTTTGCACACCACATAATAATGGTTTATTCTGTCTTCTCAAGCTGCCCTTTGTCATGTTCCGTCTGGGTCTTTCGTGTGCTTTAGCTGCTCCACGATGAGAGCAAGTTTCAGAGCCTCTTCTGACCTCCCCTCTGATCTCTTCTTTCTCTCCTCTGCTTTGAATAACCTTTTGCTTTCTTCATGAATGGTGTCCACGATGTCATCCCACCGCTCAGCAGGTCTTCTGTCTCCAGTGTTCAGGGCAACAAATCTGTTCTTGAAATTCACAACAAAATCAAGGAGGTATTTTGGCTTTCATGCACTTGTTTTAATTTTCTTCAGCTTGAAACCAAACTTACATATCAGCAACTAATGGTCAGTTCCAGAATCGGTCCTGGGCCTAGTTGTAGCTGCTGATCCTAAGCTTCCCCATCATGTCTTCCCACAGATGTCGTTCATTTGATTTCTGTGTGTTCTGTCTGGGGAAGCCCGTGTGCACAGTATGTTGTTGAAAAAGGTAATTGTAGGGAGGAAGTGGTTGTTATTGCAAAAGTCTATCAAGTGGGCTCCCGCTTCATTTCTATTGCCAAGGCCAGATTCTCCATCCGCTGTGCCTCTTCTTTGTTTCCAATTTTTGCATTCCAATTGCAGTTATCCACACATCCTGATTGCGTGTTTGATCACTGTCAGTCTGAGGACAGTGTTAAAATTCTTCCAATTTAGTATCACCAGCTTTAATGGGCTTTTCTATCTCTCCAGTCCCATAAAGAGTTACCGTTTGGGAACTCAAGGAGCAGTTCTACCCTGTCCTATAGGGTCTCTGAGTTGGCATGGACTCAACGGCAGCGAGTGTAATAGGGCTTTATTGGCTGGTGCTTGATTTGAGCAATAAAGTTTTAAGATGATCAAAAACTGCATTGGTGAGGAAGAGGTCTGGGAAGTTGTACCAAGGAATTTTTGTTTTCTGTCACAATAATGCCCCTGGTCACTCTGCAAGGGCGGCAAGGGTTGGCCTGGGAGAGCTACTGCTGGGAAACTGCGCTGTCCAGATTTGCAGGAGAGATGACATTTATGCAAAGCTCATTCTGGCTGCTTCTCCCCTTGCTCTGGGAGCACAGGAGGCTACCCTAGGGCAGACTCCAGCATCCTCAGTTTTCTTTCTCCCCCCAAGTGTGGTTGAGTAACGGTGACACTGTTGTTTTAGGGTCCGCAGTTTCTAGCACTGGGTGCATGTATTTTCATGAATGGGGGCAGTTACTCGGGGACTGGGAATGAACCCAGAGGTTCTCTGCTGACAGGAAGAGTTCATGCTATGTTCCCTGACCCTGAAGCCCATTACCCTCAAGTCGCTTCTAGCTCACCCTGGCCATGGAGGACCGAGGAGAACTACCCCACCGTGATTTCCAGGGCTGTAATTGTTCTAGACCTGGCTGCCACATCTTTCTCCTATGGAGCAGCTCATGGATTCTGACTGACAATCTTGATAATAGCTGCTGAGCACTTTAACCACCGAGCCACTAGGGCTTCCGATGTTACCTCAGGAAGTTCCCAATGCTAACAAGGACAAGTCTTCAGAAAAGTAGTCCACACATTGTTTTTCTTGCCTTGACTTGAGTTCAGCCCTAGAGTGCTACTATGAAGTGCTGTATATTGAAACGGGCATTCACAATTAATCCCTCAGAGGGAGCAGTTGCCTCCGTAAGTGCTATTCTTGCATGGGGATTCTATCAGGTAGGTGCTACGAAACAAGTGCAGACTAGAAGCAACATGCTTAATTAGAGCTTTCATTTGGAATCAGAGATGTGGTGCTGTGGGTTAGGCGCTGGGCTTGGAGGTTTGAACCCACCCACCCCTTTGAGGGAGAAAGACGAGGGCCATCTGCTCTCATAAAAATTTATAGTCTTGAAAATGCCATCTAAGGCTGTTATGTGTTGGAATTGACTTAATGGCAGTGGGTCTTTTTTATTCTTTTCAGTAACTTTTGAGAAGCTTTGCTATATGGCACCATCCACTAATCTCTGTAATTGGAATTTATTGCTGAAGAGTAAACTATAATTGTAGAGCTGTATCAAAGAATATACAGTCTTGAGCTTTAGCTGCTTTATTTTAGACAGCTATATATATATATATTTGAGGATTGAATGTATTTCAAAAGCTTATTCTAAGGAGTTTCTCTTGGGGGAAGATCTTTTAATTAAAAACAAAACAAAACTTTGATATCTAAGCAGTCACTGATCTTTCACTCTTGTAAGTTTGGATTTCACTATATTGAGTTTTTGTTCCCCCCACTATGTTGTTGGGTGCTCTTGGGTCTATTCCAACTCTGAGCGACCCTATATGACAGAGTAGAACTGCCCCCATTGGATTTCTCGTGCTGTAGGCTTTTTTTTTTAACAGTTTTATTGACATATAATTCACATATACAACTCAATAGTTTAAACATATTAGGAAGAGTTGTGCAATCACTCCAATCAATTTTAGAATGTTTTCTTTTTCCTTGTATTCATTATTACCTTCCCATTCTCCTTCGCCTCCCTGCTGTCACACCAAGAAAATACTAATCCAGTTACAGTCTGTGGATTCATGCAGTCTATACAGTCCACACCTAATATCCTGAATTTCATGTAGAGAAAAACATATCAAAAACAAAACAGAAACGAAATAACACAATAAAACAGGAAAACCTCAATTGAAAAGATACCAGAAAGCCATAAAAACCAGAACAAATTTAAAATGGGCCAAAGGGAGAATAAATGATAAGGTTTTACATTTTAACCTAACTCCACCTGCCTTAGTACCCTTTGCATTGCACTCTGTCTGATAGCAAGGCTGTTCCCTATTCCCATCCATGGGCAGTGGCCAGAGGCAATTCACTGGACACTTAATCCAAGGGGGGAGCCTGGACATGGGTTTTGGGCTTTCACTGTCACCCATAGTCATCTGCAAACTGGGTGCTCAGAATTTAAACTCTGATACTGTACCCTTTGGTTTAGATTTGATTATTTACAATCAACCCTTGGATCACGTAGGTTGGTGCTGTTACCTCACTTTGATGGCTGCTTGTTTTAAGACAAGCCTGAGAGACCTCAGGTGCTGTTCATTCTGATAGCCAGGCGCCTGATTTCTTCACCACCCGTGGCGATAGCACCTACATCTTCATGAAGTAATCCCCTTATGAGGGCAGGTACCAAGTAAGGCCGTGTCATAAGAACTAATTAATTTAAGTATAAGCCTTCAGGAACCAGCAAACTTAGGCTGAGAGCCATATGCAGCTCTTTCTGTTACGTACATGTGGCTCTGAAGTAAAATTTAAAAGTTTTAAAGGATACTGTTCAGATGCTGATGGTATAATTTGTTTTGTAAAAAATATATTTATGGCCCTCAAATAATTTTAAAATTGTGGTAAGGGACAGGATTGGCCCGTCTCAAAAGTTTGCCAACCCCTGGCCTAGAACTACAATTAAGTGCTAGCTCAAAATCCCTTCTTGTATCTATGGCTTATGTATATGCTTGGTCCACTTTAGAGACATTAGTATCCTTTGATTGGGGAAAATTATAAACCATCCCCATGGGGCATATTGTAATTCTAATGATAGTATCATCAATCTAACCAGTGTTACAGAATTTCAAATACTGTTTAGAACAGAAAAGTGTGCATCTGTAGCTCAGCTTTTTAGACAAAAGTTCATGGGTGGTTGATCTGAACAGATCAATCCCCAAGTGACCAGACACTATTTGATGCAACAATGAGGGCGGGAGATGGGGCAAACCTTTCAATAACGCTCATTCATAAAGGCAGAACCATGCCTGCTAGACTAATGTGTTATAAACAAGAAAGCATGAAAACACCAAATATACGGTAGTCCTGATCCACCATTCACTGGACACCCTCAAAGCAAGCGATGGGAACCCAAGTCCAGAGACCTTCAAGTCAGTGACTTGGGATAGCCGTCATCTGGCTCTTCTCACCCGGGTGTTTCAGCCCTAAGTTCAAGAGAGTGTTTCAGGTCTTTACATCTGGTACAGGGGAATTTGAGGCAAAGTCTAGTTTGCTCAGTGGGGTTTGCAGAATGGAGCCTGGTGTGGCCTCTGTGGACCTCAAAAGGACAGAGTCTAAATCTCTGTCTATATAGCTTGTGGCCTGGATTATCAAGGGCCTAATAGAAACCAGTCAAAAATGCCAAAATAGGAACATAATACTGGGTGTTTTCTCCCCTTGGGGATCTATATAAATATGTTAGCATTTTTCCCAATGGGAGGCTGCCTTACCTGGTTTATCCACCGATAGTGGTATAACCATCTTCTCAAAGACAGATCTTAACACACAAATACACACACACACACCACCACCACCACCACCCCACCACCCCCCTCACCCCCCTCCATCTCTGGACTTGAATTTCCATTAAGCTTCCCTGAGCACCCTTGTAGGAGTATCTCTTGATTTTGAGTGACCACAGGACAGTGTTATGTGGCAGAAGTAATCTGCCTCGTCCTTCTCCCTTCCACATGAGAAACTGACCCCAGCTAAGGTGAGGCCTCCTCTGTCGAAGTGGTTCTGAAGATGGACTAGTAAGGTTGCGATAGCCGGATCATGAGCATTAGGCAAGCACACTACCTCTTTGCTTGGGAGCCTGGACTAGATGATGACGTGACCCGAGAACAGAAGCCTGCCTGTGTCTTGGTGTTTATCCCGATCGTATTGGACTCATACATATTCACCCTTCACTCAGCAGCATGGTGTCCGGGTCCCTCTGTGTCACGAGGTGTTTTGTGGTTTCATCACTGTTTTTTTGGGTATGCGTGGTATTCCATTGTGTGTACTTAGCAGTTTCTTTATCCATTCTTCTGCTGATGGGCGTTTGGAGTGTTTCGGGCTCCTTGCTCTTGTGAGCTGTGCTGCAGTGAGGATGGGCGAGGGTGTGTCTGTTCTTCTCTGCCTCTCACTCTGGGGCACGTGCACTAGCAGAGGGGCCGCTGGCTCCTAGTCTGGTTTCTACTCCAAGTTGTCTCAGGTGGTGTCAGACTGCTTTCCACACTGGCTGTACCTGTTTACAAGAAGCTGTTATCTTTATGGAGCCGAGTGCCAGGCCTTTTCTCCTGCTCACCTTTAGCAGTCGAGCTCTTCAGTATTGTGCCATTGAACTCTCGCTGGTGGAGGGTATTTTTAAGTTTAGACATTTTTATGGTGTTCCTACTGGACTGGATTCTGATAACATCATTATTTTAGGTCTCAGACTGGCTGGTTCAAATGTCCTTAGGTGTATAGTTCTGATTCAAACACACTGGAGCTTGGGCTGATTCAGTTCTCCCATTGTGCCGTGTTCCTTAAAAGTAAAAAATGATTTTTATTGAGTTTCACTGGAACATTAAAAAAATCTTTTAGTTTAATTTTACAGTGGGTGCATCCATTATTTCCATTGAGATTGTAGGTTCTCAAACTTATTTGGTCTCCCACCCTCTTTTCAGGAAAACAAATGATTCAATGTTCTTTCCCCCCTTCCCCACCCCAAGACAATTGTGTGCTCTAGCCCATAATCCAGGATAAAGCACAGGTATCAGTTGGCAGCCCCCAGGTGGTAGTATGGCCGAATTTGGAAAACATTGATTTAGATTCCTCCCCCCCCCCCCATAAAAACAGCATGTACTGGTAATTTAAATCTGTATCCCTGTGGTTTCATGACAGGTCATTGTCATTAGAATTGCAACTCAGACCTGAGAATTCAAGTCTTTTCATTATACCCCCTTCCTACCAATCTTAGCGGTAAAAGTTCTATAATTTGTATCTATTGGCTGGGTGAAATTGAACATTTTCTAGACATCGCCAGGCAGTAGAAGTCTCTCAGGTTGGCTCTGTGGGTTAAGTAAGCAAGGATTGTCTGGAAGGTCTTAAGAGAGGATTCTGGTACAATTCCCTGTGTTGCTGAGCATCAAAGATGACTTCTTGGTTTAAAGGATATAACAGAAATTGCCCAGACAACTTAACTTCTGTGAAGTGAAAAGCTCCTTTATCCCTTAATAAATTACAGATGAGTAAAAAGCCCTGGTGAATAGTACCTGCAAACTACTTAGATGAGAACCAGTTTTTGAGAAGGTTACTTTGGTGCAAAGAGATGGCATGTTTGAGTCTTTCTGGTGAAAACTGCTTCTGTGTATAAATCCCTTTCAGGGAGCGGGAGCGGGAGAGACACCGGCACCGGGATAGCCGAAGGTCGCCGTCTTTGGAAAGACCCTTCAAGAAAGAGAACAAGCGACCTGGAAGGTAAGCAGGCCTTGGCTCTGCCAGGAGCCCTTGGCTGCCCCTCTCTCTCTGAATTCTGATTATGTGTTTGTATGTCAGCCAGTGCTGGATAATGGCCCAGAGTCTGTCCAAAATGAATACGTAGCACCGGTCCAAACGCGCACCAGGCGCCCTCCCTGGTGGCACAGAGGGTCTGCATTGGGCTGCTAACTACAAGGTGAGCAATTCGAAACCACCAGGCAGCTCAGCAGGAAAAAGACAAGGCTTGCTACCCCCACATGGAGTTACAGTCTCAGAAACCCACAGGGACAATGCAGCTCTGTCCTGCAGGGTCACTCTGAGTCAGGATTGAGTTGACAGTGAATTTGGTTTGGTGCAAATGCTCAAGCAGACTCTAACTTACACACCAGTCCCTTTCAGATGTAGTATTCATGCGAAAATTTCTGACAAATTCCCCAAATCCAGAAACTGTATGGACCATTATTTTCTTTCTTTAAAAAAAATCATTTTATTAGGGGCTCCTACTCTTATCACAATCCATCCATCCATCCATCCATTGTGTCAAGTACATTTGTTGCCATCATCTTTTTCAACACATTTTCTTTTTACTTGAGCCCTTGGTATCAGCTTCTTATTTTTTACCCTCTCTCCCCCACTCTCCCTCCCTCAAGAACCCTTGATAATTTATAAGTTATTATTATTTTTTCATGTCTTACACTGACCTATGTCTTGCTTCACCCACTTTTCTGTTGCCTGTCCCCCTGGGAGGGGGTTATATGTCGATCATTGTGATCGGTTCCCCCACTCTCCCTCCCTCAAGAACCCTTGATAATTTATAAGTTATTATTATTTTTTCATGTCTTACACTGACCTATGTCTTGCTTCACCCACGTTTCTGTTGCCTGTCCCCCTGGGAGGGGGTTATATGTCGATCATTGTGATCGGTTCCCACTTTCTCCCTGCACCTTCCCCTTCCCCTCCTGGTATTGCTACTCTTATTATTAGTCCCGAGGGGTTTATCTGTCCTGAATTCCCTGTGTTTCCAGATCTTATCTGTACCCCTGTACATGCTCTGGTCTAACCAGATTTGTAAGGTGGAATTGGAGTCATGATAGCGGGGAAGAGGAAGCATTAAAGAACTAGAGGAAAGTTGTATGTTTCATTGGTGTTATACTGCACCCTGACTGGCTGGTCTCCTTGCAACCCTTCTGTAAGGGGACGTCCAATTGTCTACAGATGGGCTTGGGTTTCCGCTCTGCACTCCCCCCACTCACAATGATATGATTTTTTGTTCTGGGTCTTGGATGTGTGATACCTGATCCTATGGACACCTCATGATCATACACACAGCCTGGTGTGCTTCTTCCATGTGGGCTTTGTTGCTTTTCAGCTAGATGACTGCTTGTTTATCTTCAATCTTTTAAGACCCCAGATGCTCTATCTTTTGATAGCCGGACACCATTAGCTCTTTTCACCACATGTGCTTATGCACCCTCTTTGTCTTCAATGATCATGTCGGGAAGGTGAGCATCATGGAATGCCAGGTTAATAGAACAAAGTGTTCTTGCATTGAGTGAGTACTTGAGTAGAGGCCCAATGTCCATCTGTTAAACCTTAATACTAAACCTTTACATAGGGGCAATTATTTTTGACTGCACGGCTGTAAAGCTGTGTAATAATAGTTTGTGGTATTAAAAAACAAAAGAGAATCTTGAAAATTGTTCGTAAATTTGATGAAATCAGGCTGCGATCTACAAGGTCAGAGGTTCAAAACCGCCAGCTGCTCTGCAGGAGAAGGGCGGGGCTTTATGCTCCTGAGGTTCCTCGGAAACTCACAGGGGCAGTTCTACCCTATCCTATAGGGTTGCTATGAGTTAGTATGGACTTGATGGCAGCGAGACTAGACTATTTCTTAAATTTACTTGTTCCAGGGGGTTGTCAGGGGAGAGAACAAAACTGCCTTTTCATTTTCATTAGCAACGTGACAGAGAGATTGCTCTTATTCAAATTAGTATAGGGTACGATACGTCTACGTCCGGAAGTAACGTTCTTGGTCTTACACGGTGGGTTGTGAGGGAGGCGCTGGAGCAGGCAGTGTTTGGTGCTGCTGTAAGTGTGGTCACTGTCCAGAACCGACTGGACGGTCCCCAACGATGGCGGCAAAGGAAGCACGATGAGGCCGAAGAGATTGGAGATTTATTCTCCCAACTTTACTGCTGGGTAATGTTATCTAGCCTTTCTCCACCTCACTCTCTGTAACTCTAAAACAAGGACTGTGTGTAGGATTACACACCTAGCACTGTGCCCCCAGAAGAAATGCCAAGGACGTTTTCAACAAGTCAGTAAGAACAGGTGAGGAGGCTTCAGAAAGTTCCTGGAAGAGTGGAATGAGCAGATAGGTCATGAAATATTTTTTTAATGAACTTTTGGAGCCATCCTCACCTCTTACAATGTGTGCGTTCCTATGAAGACTTTCATCAGCTAAAATAGTGGCAGGTGAAGAAGCAATTACCATTTGTGTGTATGGAACATTTTTGGAGTGGTAATATGATGGTTTACACCTTGCCAAGTAACAAATGAAATCCAAATTCACACTGACATTAGCAAAAGCACACCGGGTTCAAAGCCCTGGCGGCTTGATAAGCCGCGTGTCATCCAGGGGAAGGCGCTTGGTGACACCATTGCTGCGTGAGATGCCTTTTAGTGGTTGCAGTTAGCGGCCCCAACTCATTGTCGTCAAGTTGATTCCAACTCACAGAGACTCCGAAGGATGTGGTAGAGCCGCCCTGTGGGTTTCTGCGACTGCATCTCTGCACCAAAGCAGAAAACCTCCTCTTTCCCCCACAGAGCGTCTGGTGGTTTCCAGCTGCTGCCCTCTGCCACACTAGGCCTCCTTAGATAGGGCTAACTTTTCCAGGTTGACCAGGAAGAGTTTGTCATTAAGAAGAGGGCCTGTGAAAGATGGGGAGAGGAGACCGGAGTCAGTGGAGGACTTGTTTGGGGTGGCTGGTTTTTAATTTGGAATGCAAGAGATCTCCCCACTTTAGTGTCCTCCCTCCTTGCCTATCGCTTGTGGAGTCATATACAACGACTTGGAGTCTATGGCTTCTGGCCAATGCAGTAGACGAGGAAGCAACAATCAGAGATATAAATATTATCAAACTTTCATAGTTTATAAAAACATCCTATGTTTATGAAGGAACAACTTAGAATGCAATGAGTCTCTCTTTCAGGGTAAATATCTGTGCCTCCTAGGAGAGATGTTGGGAAATGCCCCCTCATGGTGTTACAACAAACTCACTGACCTTCAACACCCATCAACCATTGACCATCCGTGACCTGAGACGGATGAGCATGTTTTTTGACTCTGTTTCTTGGAAACCATGAATACTTTATACCTCCGGTGGGAATTTTGGAATTTGCGAAACTCTGTGTCAAGCACCGTCTTCTCACATGATTCCCACACACCTGTTTCCTGCTATTGGGCAAGTGACGGCGTCTCCAGGACAGTGCCTGCCTTACGTGAGGACATTATTCGTGGGGCAGCTAGGAAACCACGAGACCTTGCTTATTTAAGTGGGCAGTCCCCAAATCACCATACCCCAATGAGTACCATCCTAAATATCAGAATAACTAATTAGGCAATGCAGTGGGAATAAAGGGATTCACTACAGAATATGGAAACCATCCTGAAACTTTACAAAATTCTATAGGACCAGTGGGGGGAAAGCTTCAACCACAGAACATAGCTTATTTGCAAAGAAGGTGATGTCCATGATTGGGAGGCATGCCCTATTCCTGCAGAGGAAACGCGTTGTGTAAAGAGGTTGGTTTTCTTTAAGATCATCTCTACATTCAATGTAACATCAGTTGAGATACTGGTTTTAGCACCTCATAATGAGTCTTATTCCTCTCTGGAGTAGAAGTTCAAATAATCAAGGACAGCAGTAATGCAAGAGTGCTTCTCAAAAAAACCAACAAAGCAATCACACTGTGTCATCAAGTTGATTCTAATTCATAATGCCCCTATCGGATAGGATGGAACTGCCCCTGTGGGTTTCTGAGATTGTGACTCTTTATTGGGAGTAGAAAGCCTCATCTTTCTCCTGAGGAGCGGCTGGTGGTTTTAAACTGATAACCTTGCAGTTAGCAGCCCAATGCATAATCCACCAGGGCTCCTTTTGCAGGAATACCTACTCTAGTATTAAAATATTCTATAGATATATCATTAAAATTTTATGAGATGGGTATAAACAGTTGGATCAGTGAAATAAAAATCCAGAAACATCTAGGAACATATAAAAATTGCATCTATCATGAAGTTGTTTTGTTCAAATCAGGAGGAATTTATGTACAGTTGGCATATGGGAGGGCGGGTAACTGAAATTAGCTATCTGCCTCCCACTTTGGAGAGATGAGTAAGGAAAAAAATTAATGTTTAAAGTACTCAGGGGAAATATATGTTTATATAACCTCCAGGTGGGAAAGCATAAATTTAAAGAAGTGTAGATTTGTCAAATTTTATCTAGCAATAAGGAATTACAAGGGGAAAAAATGCACAGGGTTACAATTAACACCACAAAGACAACCACGGTGATTATTCTTATTAAGATACTATTTCCATAACTAAGAAAAGACTACCATCGTTAATTTTAATAGTATTGAGATAGCCCCTGACTTGTGTATTCATTAAAGAAATGAACTTCCCAGTGTATTCATTTCAGTTGTGATTAAAAAAAAAAAAACCCAGCAAATTAAAGTGAAATACTTTTGGGTAAGAGTGACCCAGATGAGAAACAACCCTATTGACAGAATGTGTGGAAGGAGAACTCTCATACCATTTTGTTGATGGTCTAAATTGGCTCAACTTCTCTGGAGAGAAGCCTTTTCAAAAGTGTGCACCCTTTATAAAATAAGCTGAGAAATGTGGAAAGATTCACACACGTGTGCACAAAAAACTAGAAAAAGGTGTTAACAGCCTAAATGACTATCATTAAATTTGTTAAGCAAGTTATGTCGTATTCATACAAGAAATATGTGCACCTATTAAAAATGGTTCAGATGGAGGTATATTGCAGCCGTTGTTCTGGAATCATTACTGAGTGAGAAGAACAGGCTGTAAAATTGGACTCAGAACCAGATTGCAGCCGGTGTTCTGGAATCATTACTGAGTGAGA